GCCCGCGGGGAAGAGCCGCTGCCCCGGGGGGACCCCTCCCTCCCTGGACCCCGTCCAGCCGCCCGCCAGCCCGTCCGCCCGGCGGAGCCCCTGTTCTACGGGTGTGTGTGTGTGTGTGACACCACCTTCCCCCCCCGGGGTGGCAGCTCCCCTCCGGCCCAAACGTGCTTCGGGGGACCCGGACCCCGCAGCACACACCCCACCCTGCCCCGGGCGTGGAGCTGCCGGAGATAGGGGAGCCCCTCGGCCCGGGTGCCCCCCACCTTTTCCGACGGCAGAGCAGCAGGGGGGAACTACTGTGTTGAAGTGTTGGGGGGCTGCTGGATGCAGCTGCCCCCCACCCCCCTTCCTTGAAATTTACTATGGTGTTCAAGGGCAGGAGGCATCCTTCAGAAAATCATTTTTTATACTAACAGCTCCGCTTCCAATAACAGTCCATATCTTCTGTAATATAACAACCTCCATTCCATGAGATCAACATTTCTTATTATTTCAGCTGTGGTTAAAGGAAGCAAGCAGACTCCTGAGTCTGTCTTTTCCAATTTGCTCATGTCGACCTGCACACCTTGGAGATTGCCGCCCATTGCCGCCGTGACCCACGCGCCAGAAAGCGTGGTGGCTTTCTGACAAAGCCTGGCCTAGCCAGGCAGGAGGGTGGTCAGACCAAGCAGAGCTGAAATCCCAGTAGGCATGTGTCCAGGTCAACCATAGTGACGTGACGGACACAGCCACAGAGGGAACACTGGTCACCTACAAATCTGGGGAGGTGCTTGCAACCAGAGCAAAAGCACTCCTCAAAAATCATGGTCTCCAGCCCATGACTCGAAGGGAATTTGTAGATTTTGCCTGATATTGCTCATGATGTCATTACAGATTATTTTTCTCACTTTTTTTTTTTTTTTTAAATGACCAATAATGCTAAGGTTTCAACCATTTTTAACGCTTAAACTATTAAAAGATACTCTTTGCACTGTAGAAATGGCGTTGGTCCTGCCTATCCTGGCATCCTTTGGCATTCTTTTGCATTTCTGTAGCTAGATCAATGCCCTCTCTGCTGTGAAAAGGCCATCATTAAATCATACCAAGTGGTTAAAAACCTTAAATTTTCCATGTTATTCGACGAACAGCACTAGCGATAGACTGGTGATAGCACCACATACTTACATCTGAAAAGAAATATCATTTAATTGTCAATTCCTGCAACATCGTGGCTATCCTTTGAAGACCTACTGTCTAAAAGATCAGATGGGAGAAAACCAGCTTGATCTCTTACTTTTTCGGCCTTTATTTTCCTGTAGAGATTACTAAATCACACCTAGTCAAGGAATAATATACTAATGCTGGTCTCATAACTCATGCATGCTATGAAGGTCCTAGAAACACATTAGCTTAATCATGAAACCTCTCAGATAATTTATGTAACTGGAATAATTTCACAGGAAAGCCAATGTAATTCAAAAAGTAGTAAATACATGGATAGAAATCAGATTTTCACTGAAACTATTCTTGTCCTCATCTGGCTCAGGTGCCAAGTTTTATGCTAGCCTCAGAGCAGCAAGGTTTATCTTAATGTGCAGGGATCCATACAGGTACATTTCTTTCCCTTTTCTCACATTAAATTCATTATGTGATGTTCAAAAGACTGATACACATTAGAAAACCTTTAGGCATTTCAGTGTAAAAGGAAAGGTTTATTAAAAGGAAGGTTATTACTTTGAACAATGACTTCAGTGTCTACATTTAAATGTGAAATGTTTATCTGGCACTGACCTGCATTGGTCAGAATCTATACGACTGTACTTTTATTCATAAATGCGCACCTAAGCTAGTAAAACACATTTATTTTCAGATTCCATGTGGTCATTTGTGGGTCTTTTGTAGTCCACAAAGATACAGGTTGATAATTATATTTTTGATAATTTTCTAAGCAAGTGTTACCATAATTCCATTTGGGAGCCCATGATTTTGAGAAGATCTTTATTCTGTGGTAGAAAAAAATGTTGATGTGTTTAGAGAAATAGCTTAGGCTGTCTTAGTGTACTCAATATATGGATGGGTGGAGAGAATTACTTTTTAGTAGGAAAACAGCATCATCTTAAATGCTTAAAAGCTGGGCTATTTCAACCCTTCCTGAAGACCTTGAAAAGGCAGGAGACACCGAGTGAGTCAGCAGCACCAAGTTCTCCTTCCCGCACTGCAGCTTTGCTGGAGCATGGAGGGTGGCCTGAGCCTGCAGACCTTGCCCAGGTGAGCAGTGCTGCTGAGGTGGAGCTCCAGAGAAGCAACACAGGAAAAAGCTCCTTCCTCCATGTTCGACAACTAAAGAGAAGTGGACCTCGGGTCTAATCCCACTGACCTTCCGTTGAATGAGTAGTTCTCTAAAATGCTCCTTGAGAGTGATCACTTCTTGCACAAAAGGGATTGTAGAAGAGAACTGCATGTGCTTCAGAAAACAAAGATGCAATTTAAAGCAGCATTTGTAGTTTTCAGTTAGGGTTATCTTTCAATGTGGGATGAACCATGATTTTTTTTCTGCTAATTATTTTCATTAGCTGTATTAACTCTTCCTGAGAGCTCTTAATAATTGCTTCAGAGCAGAATGTGTAAAACTGAAAATTATTTATGGCACTGATTAGAACTACAGAATACTAATATGGGTAGTCAGGAATAATTTACCATAGCAGGAAAAGCATTATTTAATTGTTTAATATAGAAGTTTAATTGTGCTTGCATATAATTATCATGTAAATATCACTGTGATCACTTTAAGAGGTTATTTCGAAGTGTGCCAAAATTCTGAAGCAATCTGAAAAGAATTAATTTTTTTTCTTGCCTCCCTTCACAAGTCTCTCAAGTGCACTATATGTTTTAACTTAAACCAAAATATAGCCAAAGGCAGACAGGAGTTCCAACAGTGACCAGTGTAATACTCACTGCTTTTAATTACTGTAACAATAAATCACACAGGAATGTCCTCCAGGAACTAAATGATTTTCTAAAAACATTTGAGAATATTTTTGAAATTCAATTAATTGAAGGCACCAGATAAAAGGTACACATTCTTAATGGCTATAAAATAACCCTAAGGGATGTAACTGAGCTCCAAGCTTAACTTCAAAGTGTGACAGAAATACTTACTGTATTACTTTAAAAGTATTCAGATCAATGAATCAGTTAAAATTACTTATACATTTACCAACCTTTTCATTTTCTTTCTGAATATGATAGAAAGAATTGCTCTCATTTCCCAGGATACAAAAAGCAGTTGAGACCTGTAAAAGAAATTGTAATTAAAGCCAGCCTTCAGTCAAAATTGGTATTATGAATTTTTGGTTGACACATGATAAAGAGGCCAGCAAAACATAAAAGTGGCTTGATAAAACATACATTTAGACATTTTATACTGAAATTTAACTGGTTTGTGGAGATATTTCAGGTTCTGGGATTAAATCTGTCCTTGCTAAAGCCAGTAAGCATTTTTCTACTGAATTCACTAGAATCAGAATGTCACCCTACAGTCTGTATTGTGTACGGCTGTGTACTTGACTGGCTAGATGACTATGGGACAAATCAGTTATCTCTTTTTTTTCCCCTCTCTTTGGACTAACTATGCTAACTCGAACGCCCACACGGTTTTGCAAGGTGCTGAACATCTCAAAGAGTCACTGTATGCCTTCATCTTTTGCAGAAAGCAGTCTGAGGTAGTATGCCAACTAATGCTCAGTGGGATCCGACTCTGAATAAATGCCTTGGCATTTGGCCTGTAGTCTATGAGCAACAGAGGTTGTTTTAAAACAAAAATGTTTAAACCATCCTAATTTTCTGATCTGGAAGGTTTCATAAAACCACATGACTCAACAGCAGGGAAGTGTTAAGAAACATGTAGAAACTGAACTGTCGCTACCGGTCAGGTTTTTTTTAGCAGAGGTGCTATGTTCTGAGCAGCTCTTCCTTTCCCTCTGTAATCTCAATATATACCATGGAGACAAGGGTTAACTTCTAACCTTTGCAAAATGGCTGCTTATTATAAATATTCAGCGATGAGATATAATTAAAGTGCATATATATATATTATGCCCCAGTGCAGAAAGTTTAGAAATAGTGGAACCAGAATTATGCACACATGTACGTTTGATGCACACCTGTGTCTGTGTGCTTGTAGGTACACATGCACATGCACACACAGAGGGAAAGGATGCAGAGAAGTGTCTGTACTATATGAAGGGACTATATTCCAAGAGAAGACTGAAAATACTCCACAGAAGACTAATTATAATATTTTCCAGTGGGTACCTATTTTCAACATTCATTGGTAATTTTCTTAGTAGCGTGTTAACATTTTCTCTATGTTTAAAATGTGTTAAACTGAGACAGTAAAAAAATGAAAATAGTGCTTCAGACATAACTGCATCTTTATCCCTTCTTTTTTTTTTTTTTTTTTTCCCTTGGTCATTCAAAGTCATAAACATCATAAGAATCTTTGAGCATTTAATATTGATGTTATGTCATGAAAATGTAACAATATTATGTAGCTCCACGGAGTAATTCTTCACGCTGCAGGTGCGAGGTGGGTGGAAGGGTCACTGAGCAATGGA